GCTGCCCCAATCTCCCTCCTGTTTAGGGAACGAAGCTCCTATGAAATTGAGTGGGAGTGGAAGACCCGTTATTTAGTGCCTTCGTCATTGTCACCGTCAGACTTAGTCGGGATAAATAAGAAATTCTTTCTTGACGTGGAACTAGCTTTGCGAGCCCCATCTTCTGACGAACCTTGCAATTATCTCCCTCAAGGGGAGATTTGCTTTTTTTGAGGGGGCTTTGGACATGGGGTTGTGTCTCCCCATTCATCCCACTGTTGGTTACATCTTGGTCTATTATAGGTTATGCCCTTCTCGTCTCTCTCCTAAGGGGTGGGCCATCATGATCAGTTTCTTTCTATTTTGACGTTTGCGTGGTGATGAAAAATTCTCCACTGTGGGAGAATTCTTCTACTTTTTCGACGTCGAGGAGGATAAGGTCCCGTGCTTTGTCTATTTTCGGTGGAGGCACTTCAAGCTGCGGTGTTTGGTGTTTGACATTCCTTCTCCTCTTGAGGGATGGGTCAATCGTTTCTTTTATGTAACTGAGGATTCTTGGAGATCCATAGAACTGCACTACAGAGAGTGCAAAGTTCCTAGATCCTGGAAGAGCTACTCTTATTCAGGTAAGTATGTCGATAACCTGTATTTGTTCGGGTTTCTTGATGTAATCTCCTAATCGTAGGAATTAATTTGGTTGGCAGGTCCTCCCGAATTAGATCTGTTAGAGGAGATGTGATTTGATTAGATGATAGAAGTTGAGCCTGTGTCTTATTCTGAGCTAGTGACATCAGATAACTTGTTTCTTTTCAGTGCTGTCGGTGCTGCTATGAACTTTGTTTCTTACCTAGATTCTGCTGATTCCTATCCTTCCGAATCTGATGAGATTGAGGACGTTGGTCCTTCCTCTGGGAAACGCAAAAGTGGCCATGCCAGTGACTCTTCTTCTTTATATGGATCTTCTCTGGTTGCCATACTGTTTTCCTCATCTGGGCAAAGATTTGTAAATCTTCTGACAGAAGCCCATAAGGAAAGGGATGAGATAAAAGAAGAAACTGTCATCCTGAAGGAGGAAGTTGCAAAGCTCCGGAGACTCTTAAAGGGCGAATATGGATTAAGAATATCTCTTGTTACCCCCCCTTTTTTTTCCTTCATACTGTTGTTGGATATATGAACCTCTGTTCTTATTTGATGGCTACTGGTTCTTCTATGGACTCTTGAACTTGTAATCTTGAATCTAGTTATATGTCTCTATTCACAGGTTTTAGGACCCTTTTGAGTAGACTGGTAGGGTAAGCTGTAAGCTACAAAGTTCGTTTTACAAACCGAAGAGTTCATCCTGAGCTATAGGGCTCTTTTTATGCACTGAACTGTTCAAAGTGAGCTGCAGAGCTCTGTTTTTGAACTGAAAAGTTCATCTTTATTTTATGAGTTGAGTAGCTCATCTTTATTTTATGAGCTAAAAAGCTTATTATTATTTTATGAGCTGAAGAGCTTATCTCAATTTTATGAGCTGAAGAGCTCATCTTATCTTTATGAGCTGGAAAACTCATCTCAATTTTATGAGCTGAAGAGCTCACCTTTATTTTATGAGCTGAAGAGCTCATCTTTATTTTATAAGCTGGAAAGCTCATCTTTATTTTATGAGCTGAAAAACTTATCTGTATTTTATGAGCTGAAAAACTCATCTTTATTTTATGAGCTGAAAAGCTCATCTTAGTTTTATGAGATGGAGAGCTCATCTTTGAGTTGGAAGCGTTTTTTTTTTTTTTTTTGCAGGCATATACAAGGGAGGGTCAAAAGCTCTCAGTTTTATTGAAAGAATGATTCTATTACAGAAAAACTTACTGAAAAAATCTCTTAAGGTGTTTTGCATTCCAAGAATGAGACATAATGTTTCCTTTCTCAGTTTGCAGCTTATAGTTCTCGGGCCTGATAATCCTTGATATGATATAAGGACCTTCCTACTTTGGGCCTAGTTTCCTGTGGGAAGGGTTCTTCCTCGCAAGCAGAAGCTTTCTAAGCACTAGATCCCCTATCTTGTAACTCTTGTGCTTTACTTTCTTGTTGTAGTACCTGACTATCTTCCTCTGATAATACTTTATGCGTTGTAAGGCATCGTCTCTCTTCTCATCCAATAGATCGAGGTTGAGTAGCAGCACCTCATCATTATGCCTTGCATTGTTAAACTCAGTTCTGGGGGACGGGAGCCTTATCTCCACGGGAGCCACTGCTTCAGTTCCGAAAGCCAACGCAAACGGAGTTTCTCGAGTGGCTATCCTGGTTGTGGTTCTGTAAGCCCATAACACCTCAGGGAGCTGCTCCGCCTATTTTCCTTTCAGTGCTTCCAACTTTGTTTTCAGGGCAGTCTTTATTGTTCGAATGGTGACCTCTGTTTGCCTATTAGATTGGGGATGAGCTGGGGCCGAAAAAAAATTTCTTATTTCTAGCTCAGCACAAAACTTCTTGAACTTTGGGTTATCAAACTACTTCCCATTGTTTGAAACAACTGCCCTTGGAATCTCAAACCTACAGATTATCGACTTCCAGACAAAGTTTTAAACTTTTTGTTCCGTGATTGTTGCCAAAGGCTCTGCCTTTGTCCATTTGGTGAAGTAGTCCACCCCAATAATGGCAAACTTGCATTGTCCAACCCCTGTAGAGAGGGGGCCAAGTATATCTAAACCCCATTGTTGAAAAGGCCAGGAGCTCACCACCGATGTTAGGAGCTCTGGTGGGTAGTGAAGAATGTTGGCAAGTATTTGACAAGCTTTACATCTTTTGACCAAATCTGCAGCATCTTTGAGCATAATGGGCCAGTAGTACCCCTGCCTCAATGCTTTTTCTGTTAGGGCCCGAGTTCCGATGTGATTGTCGTAGACTCCTTCGTGGACTTCTCTGAGTATGTAGTTAGCATCTTCATCTCCCACACATTTGAGTAGAGGTGTCAAAAATCCACATTTGTATAGGTTTTCCTGCAAGATAGAAAATCTGGCTGACCTGACTCTTAGTTTTGCAGCTTCTTTGGGATCTTTCGGCAAAGTCCGATTTTGAAGATACCCTCTGACGGGGTCCATCCAGCTCGGTGGTATTTGCACAGGCAGAACTTCTTCATCTTCCATGTATACAGATGGTTCTGCTAAACGCTCCACTGGAATTAACTTATCCAAATTCTCATGCGAAGCTGTTGCCAACATTACCAAGGTGTCTGCTCTTGAATTTTTGGCTCTAGGAACGTGCTTGAACTTAACTTGCACAAACTTCTTGATCAATTCCTGTACCTTTCTGAGGTAGAGAATCATTTTCTCACACTTAGCCTCGTATGACTCCTCTATCTGTTTTACGACAATCTGGGAATCACTGCTGATCTCCAACTGCTCTGCCTCCAACGAATGAGCAACGTTGAGCCCAACAATGATAAATTCATATTCTGCCTTGTTGTTTGAAGCCTTAAACCCAAACCTGAGGGCGTATTCCACGTCTATTCCATATGGAGAGGTCAGGATCAATCCTGCGCCGCTTCCTTGGGCATTGACAGCTCCGTCTACCGAAAGTTTCCATATGGGAAGGTCAGGTATTACCACCGTGGCTTCTGCGGGTGTTACTACAGTGAATTCTGCGATGAAATCTGTCAAAATTTGCCCTTTGATTGCAGTCTTTGGCTTATACCTAATATCAAATTCGCTAAGCTCTATCGCCCACTTAACTAGCCTTCCTAAAGACTCTGGTTTATGCAGTACTTGCTTCATTGGCTGATCTGTTGGAACATTGATAGTATGAGCCTGGAAATATGGTCTCAGTATCCTAGTCATAGTCACCAGGGCCAAAACTAGCTTCTCCATCTTTGGATATCTCTCCTCTACCCCCCTCAGAGCTTTGATACAGTTGTACACTGGTTGCTAAGCTCTGTCTCGCTCCCTAACTAGTGCTGCACTGGTTGAGAAATTCGAGATAGCTAAATAAAGAGTAAGCACTTCCCCTTCTAAGGGGCTTACCAGGACAAGGGGGAGAGCTTAGGTACTCCTTCAGTGGTTTGAATGCTTCCTCACACCGGGTGTCCCACTGAAAAGCCTTCTTCAAGACCTGAAAGAAAGGTTGTCACTTGTCACTTGATTTGGATACAAAATGACTCAAAGCAGTTATCCTTCATGTCAGGCGTTGGATCTCCCTGATGTTGGACGATGGTCTCATATCCAGAACTGCCTTAACCTTTTATGGGTTAGCTTCGATTCCTCTGCTGTTAACTATGAATCCCAGAAACTTCCCTGCTGATACCCCAAAGGCACATTTTATAGGGTTGAGTCTCATCTTGTACTCCTTAAGAATTTGGAATAATTCTGCTAGGTGCTCGATGTGCAGCTCTACCTTCAGTGATTTTAGCAACATGTCGTCGATATAGACCTCCATGGATGTCCCAATTTACTTCTAAAATATTCTATTCACTAGGCACTGATAGGTGACTCCAACATTCTTCAATCCAAAATGCATGACCTGGTAGTAGTAAGTTCCCTGTTCAGTCACAAATGAAGGCTGCTCCTGGTCCGCTGGGTTTATCCTAATCTGATTATAACCTGAGAAAGCATCCATGAAGCTGAAGAGCTCATGCTCAGCAGTTGCATCCATGATCAAGTCAATTTGAGGTAAGGGAAAGCTGTCCTTGGGCCTATCCCTGGTTCTCTGAATTCCTCTTGTCTTTCCTGACCTGAACTCATAGCTAGGGCTTCCACTGTTAATTTTTTTTTTTTTTTGACCAGAGAATGTTTGAGTCACCTTCTCTTCTGCGCCGAGCCATTAGGCTAGGGAGGTGTTAATTATCAGAAGATATAACGCAATAACTTACTTGCTAACTAGTTCGTGTCAACCCTGCAACATGCAATTCTCTTGGTTCAATAAATCGGGACCTTCGTCTCCTCTTTTCTTCAGGGGTGCAGCTACCAACACCAACTTTTCCAAGCTTTAGAGCGAATTTGCAATCCAGTTGTGATGATATCACTGATAAGATAGATCTTGATGGTGATGAACTAACGGGGCAATTCTCTTTTCCGGACTTGTTCCTTTGATAGTCGCACACATGAAACCGTGGACTCACCATCAGTGCAAACCCTCTCCAGATCAACATCTCCATTGTTCACCTGAGAAAAGGAAACGCCAATTCTCAATTTCACCTTGCAAGCAAGCAGTACCTGCTTCTTTCAGAATGCAAGTGTTATTGTGATACTAAGGAAAAATTTAAGGAAAAGTTTTGTATACAACAGGATTACCAATTGCAGAAGTGCAGAAAATGTCCGAGCAACATCATGCTTCTCTTGGCCGTAGCTAAGGTCTGCAAAGGACGTGGCATTTCCACTGCCAGCTTTCAGTAATAGCTCATCCAAAACTCTTCCACCATATTCATGAAGTCCTGTATAAAAAAGGTTGTCACTGGTTCAAAAATAACTACAAAGATGAATGAACCAAAATCTAAACTAAGGGTAAGCTTGTGATATGTAAAGAGAGTGAGAGGGAATGCACACAATTGCCCTTCCAAGTTCTGCACAATTCTCAGTTTCAGCGATGCTAGCAAGGAGAGAATCCTACACATAGGAATATGGGTTACTAACCAAGTTGCTCCACCAATAATACAACAAATCCTCTAAACCAATCCATAATTCAACAAAGGTTTTATAAAAGTGCAACTGAATGCATAGATGCGCAATCCATATTATTCTGGTTCTCTGACCTTTTGAATTTGGATTGCACTGGGCAACAACTGAGATAACCAAGCGAAATTACCCAAAAATAGCTGGGGGCATAGACTGCAGCATATATATGTGTCAGTTAAGTCTTCTATGATTAGATAACATATCGTCTTCATGCTTTTTCTTTGTTTGTGAAATAAACCCTGACCCGCCAACATAACCCTCAAAACCCCCACCCACCCCCTAAACAAAAAAGAAAGGGAAAAAAACCGCACACATGGATGCAGATGTAAATTGAAAAAATCCATTATTACCATGTGAGATCGACACAGATCTTCGAGACTCGAGTGAGAATTTGCATCTTCAAGTCCATGTCTTCATTGGCATCAAAGTGAACACTGCCATCATAATCATGCTGCATAGAACATGAGCAATCAAAACCGAATTTTTTACGGGACCAGTAGCCTTTACACAACATACGGGTGAAAACACATTAAATGTTTGCCTGAACTTTTCAGGGTTCAGAGGTACGTATTCATTCATGTATGATTCCATGCTCCCCCCCCCCCCCCCACCCACACACACACACACACACACACACACACACACAAATGTATATAAAATTATTTTATATATTATATTTATCCCCCTAAATTTTGAAAATTTTAATAATTATTCTAATTTTTTCCTTTTTCAATAAATTCATATCCATTAACCCTCTCTACAATAAATATGCTAGTTTTAGATTGAGTCAATCGGATATAACTATCTTGATTTATTTGTATATCGATGAAAATACAATAATTCTCTTTATCTAACACAATATTTATTATTTTTTAAGAACAATTTTTTGTTTTCATTTATCATTTTTTTAGTAATCGTGATCTATAACCTAATAAAATACGATTGTATACAAAAGACAAAATGTTGTAACCTAAAAATATTTTAAGCTATTTCGAATTGGAAATTTCTCTATAAGTTTGACAATGATCTCAACTAAATATTAACTAAATAAAAAATAATTTTACTATGAACTTGTGATAGTGTGCATTAATAGAAAATTAGTGAATAATTAATTCATATAAAAATTTTAGAGATTTTTAAAAAAATTTATATTTCATTGAAATATATAATGAGGTTAAAATATACTAAAAAAATTATTTTGTGTCTTTTTATTAGGATTTTGTTTCGACTAAATAAAAATTAAATTTAATATTTCACAATTATTTTATCTTATTTTTACTTTTTTGTCATTCTTGAACTGAATTTTTTGTTTCAATTTCGATTAAATATTTTTTTGTATTAGTTATATTTTGCCCTCCCTTATAGATTTTCCTAGCTCCCCCCTGCATGATTCTCATGCCCTCCAAGAACAAGCAATTGTCGCAGCTGCAGGCAGGACTTGTGTTATGTAACTAGACAAACATAGGGTGACAACATTATCAAAGCATCAGGACATGGATCTTTTCATAGAGTGGAGGAGATTGTGATTCCTGTATTCTTTACAAGGCATGTTGTTGTTTTTCCCATATTTCATTAAGCTCTGAACTAATGGAACCATGCAGTCTTGCAAGAGGGAACTCTGTAGTTAAGGGAATTCGTTTACAGGAATTTACTCCATCCCTTCTACCAGCTTTCACTGTTTGGAAGCAAAAACAAAGTCAAATAATATTATGTGAGTGACGAAGAACAGAAACAGATAAGGAAGAAAAGGAAAGAAAACCCTGTGAGACCTTGTTTATTAGGTTTTACTTTCAAATTTCCAAATTCATAGGGATTCAAAGGTTTCCATGGATCATCATCGTCTTCATCATCTGAATTGTCCAAGTCCCTAGGCTCTGAATACCCATAATCCATCTCAAATACATGATTCTGGAATATCAGCATGAGGGGAAGACCCAATATTATCACACCCAATCAACATATTTCAGCTTACATGAGAAACTTATCAAATGGAATCTACTTTCAAACTCAAAAAAAAAAAAAATGACTTGTATTTGACATAAAAGACAAATATACTACATAAAACTCGAAAATTCATTTCCACTATAAATTTACAGAGAGGTAACCTTCATCTTTTCCGGTGATTTCACCGGTGCAAATCTTCAGAAGATATTGTTGGAATTTTTTCCTATATTGGACTACCATTAATTGAGAGTTAATTTTACTTTGTGAAAAACGGATTGAATTTATGGTCCAATAAGATGAGGCCAATATTATTAAGTAATTTATTTTGATGAGCTTATGTACATCTTTTAATTGGTGTGGTTGAGGCGATTAAGTGTAGGCCTTAATCAAATTGTAGCCCGTAATGGGAGAGCTCATTACATTTCATTATAAATAGCAGGTTAGGTCCCCTCTCCACTTTATAACCCTAATTTGGCTTGTCCCATTGAGAGCCGCCTATTGCTTTAAAGAAGGAGAGGAAGATCTTGTCCTTTCAAGAAAGAAATTCGGAGATCGAGTATCATGGCTCATACATGTATGTTCTAAACCTTTTAATTTAGGTGTTCTAAATTTCATATACGAATCATTAAAATTTCTTAGAAGGAAAGGAAGATTTTGTCCTTTCAAGAAAAAAATTCGGAGATCGAGTATCATGACTCATACATGTATGTTCTAAACTTTTTAATTTAGGTGTTCTAAATTTCATATACGAATCATTAAAATTTCTTACATGTAGTATCAGAGCCTATCGTATATGAATTTAGAACCCGATAAAATTCATGTATAATTAAATTGTTAATTTTCATCGGATTTAGCGTTCAATTTTTTGTGTCACTGTTCATGACCTTGTTGATTAAAAGTTATGGGATATATATATGTACGTCACAACGAAAAAAAAAAATTATTAAACTTGGTCTTTGTAATCCAAGGCTACTGCATGAGGCGGCCAAGAAAAAAAAAAAAACACTATCCTGGGCCAAAAAAAAAAAAAATGGTATTATGATTGCTACTGTTTTTTTTTTTTTTGGCTAAATTAAATTTGAGATCTTGACATCAAAGTCAACTTTTATATGTTAAATTTTTTTTTATGATTCTCTTTTCGTGGATGACTCGTGTTAATAACATGGGGTCTTGTTGATGAATATATATAAACTTTATCCATACAAATTATTTTCTCGTGTTGATGTAATTTTGATTGAATTGCTATAATTTATATAGGATGTTTGCACAATTCTAATTTTAGTACTTAGGGATTTATATGCTGAATTTTTTTTTTTTTGTGATCTACATATTATTTATTAATGTTGATAGATTTGAATTTAAATTACTTAATTTTACAGTAAAAATAGAATTGAGACATGAATGCAACGATTGATGATGAGTGATTTAGAGATATACATATTGTGTTAGTACCTCATATTGATTGATCACATGATGTTTAATTATGGACAATTTATTATAATACTCTGGTTTGGGAAATTCTGTGAAGATGGATGGTTGTCAGCAAAGTGGTCTATTTATTGAAATTTATAGTTTTTTCTCATGCTTTTGTTACGGGGTTGTCTTTAAATTATAATATACAATTACCTGCGTAAAGGGGGTTGTTGTGTTTTGTAATTTGGAGATGTCATGAAACATTGTGGTAGAGGTGCAATAGTCTAGAAGGTTTATCTACCTAAAGGGGATACATTTTTCAAAACTTGAACATTCTCATTAGTTAATTTCATGAAAAGAGAGGACCTATAACATATTGCATTCTCTGCCCAAATAGGAGTTTGTAGTGATGTATTTGGATTCTCTTAATAAAATATGTCTTATTATGTTCAAAGCATATTTTATTTATTTATTGTCCAATTTTGCTAATTATTTATATTCTCGTTGCCTTGTACAATCTCTTTTGTGTGAATAGTAATAATACCAACATTGAAGTCTTGACTGGTTCTAATTATAAGAGACAGAAGTAAGATATTGAGTTTGTCCTGGGAATTGCTGATATAGACTTTGCCTTTAAAGATAATGAACCTGCTAAACCTACTAGTGAGAGTTCCCTTGATGAAAAAGAACTTTATGCAAAGTGGAGAAATATAATAGGCTAAGTATGATTGCTATGAAAAGGTCTATCTCTGAATACCTTATGAGTGGCTTGCCTGAAACCAAGAATGCCAAGGAGTTCTTCACCGTTGTAGGAGAGAGATACAAGGTATCCAATAAGACTGAAGCTGAGGGCCTAATGAATGAATTAACGATTATGAAATATGACAATGTAAGTGGTGTTAGGGAATATATCCTTAGAATGGTCCATGTTCAAACCAAACTCAAAGCCTTTAAAATTGTTATTTCTGATGATTTCATTGTTCATCACATTCTTAACTCTTTTGCCTCCTGAGTTTAGTTAAATCAAAACTGCCTACAACACCCAAAATGAGTCTTGGACAATTAATGACCTTATCTTCAAGTTTGATTCTGAGGAAGAAAAACTTGGAAAAAAAAGAGTGAAACTACCTTGTTTGTTTTTCAGCCTAAATCTAGTTTCAAAGGTTGGTATCAGGGAAATAATAGAAAATCTAATCATAATGCTCCAAAGAATGGTCGGGATTTCAAAAGGCATGGTCTTGGTCAGAATGTGGGAGGTCCTAAGGCTGCCATTAAAGATGTCAAGTGTTACTTTTGCAAGAAAAGAGGTCATAAGAAAAGTGAGTGCACTCAATTCAAGTCTTGGTTAGAAAAAAAGAATAAAGAGGAAGATAATTCACTAGCCTTTGTTTGTTTTGAATCCAATTTGTTAATGTCCCATTAAATTCTTGGTGGATTGATAGTGGGGCTTCTGTTCATGTTGCCATGACTTTGTAGGGATTCACAAGCAAACGGAGGCCAAGTGAAGGAGAAACCAAGCTTAAAGTAGGAGATAACAATTAAGTCTATGTTGAGTTTATAGGAACTGTTAAGTTGAATTTAGACACTGGTTTTCAACTTGTTTTAGAAAATATTTTTTATGTACCGTCATTTAGGCGAAATTTGATTTCAGTTTCTTTGCTTGATAAAATTGGATATTGTTTTAATTTTAGTAATGATAAATTCAATTGTCTTTAAATTCTAAAATTGTTGGTCATTGTGTTTTATCAGATGATCTATATAGTATATATTTGGCTGTCAATAATGAATATGATCTTTCAAATATTGTGAATGTTGTATCTAAGAAACATTTCATTAAAGAAAAATCTTCACAGTTGTAGCATAAAAGTTTGGGTCACATTTCTAGAGAAAGAGTAGAAAGATTAATAAAAAATGATATTCTTCCTCCCCTTGATTTTGGAGACCTTGAAACTTGTGTTGATTGCATCAGGGGTAAATTGACCAAAACTAAAAAGAAAAATGCAACTCGTAGTCTAGATCTTTTAGAAATCATTTACATTGACATCAATGGACCTTACTCACGTACATTGTATAATAATAAATATTTTATTACATTTATTGATGATTTCTCTCGTTATGGATGTATTTATTTAATTAATGAAAAATCTGATGCTCTTGAAAAGTTTAAAATTTTTCAAGACTGAGGTAGAGAAACAATTAGGGAAAGTCATCAAAATTATTAGGTTTGACCGTGATGGTGAGTATTATGACAAACATGACGTGTCTGGGCAGCATTTGAGGCCGTTTGTCAAGTACTTGCAAGATTGTGGGATTGTTGCCTAATATACTATGTCTGGTAGTCCGGAGTAAAATGGTGTGGCTGAGAGGCGTAATCATACCCTTAAAGACATGATGAGGAGCATGATAAGTAGGTGTAACTTACCTAATTATCTTTGGGGAGAAGCCATTAAAATGGCTTCATACATTCTTAATAGAGTTCCTAGTAAATCTATTCTAAAACCACCTTTTGAATTATAGACCAATAGGAAATCAAGTCTTAACCATTTTCGAGTTGGGGGTTGTCCTAGTGAAGTCAAAATCTATAATCCTTTTGAGAAAAAGACTGATCCTAGAACTACTCATTGTTTTTTCATAGGTTACTCAGAACATTCTAAAGGATACTGGTTCTATTGTCCTATACGTGGTACTAAAATTGTTGAGTCCTTAACAGGAAATTTTCTGGAGCTTGATATTGGTTGCTCACAGCCTATTAGTGTGCATGAGCAAGATAAATTTATTTCTATTCCTTTACCTGTTGTGCAAGAGAATATTATACATGCTCATGTTATTAATTTTTCTACTCCAGTTGTTGATCCTCATATTCCTGCAATTGAACTTTTTGTTCCTATTGAGGCTCCTCAGCCTTTAGAGCCTACTACAGAAATTTTCTTAAGAAGATCTACAAGACTAAGAAGACCTGTTATTTTTTATGAATATTATGTATACCTTGGAGAAAATGATTATGATATAGGTGATATTGTTGATCCTGTAACATACAATGCTGCTATTACTTGTCCTTAGTCTGATATGTGGGTAGGTGTCATGAAAGATGAGATGCATTCTATGACACTCAATGAAGTGTGGGAGCTTGTGGAACTTCCTAAGGGATGTAAGCTCATTAGCTGCAAATGGGTGTTTAAAACTAAGATGGACTATAAAGGTAAGATTGAAAGATTTAAAGCTAGATTGGTAGCAAAAGGGTATAGCCAGAGAGAAGGTGTAGATTTTAATGAAATTTTCTCACTTGTCTCTACTAAAGATTCTTTTAGGATTATTATGGCATTAGTGGCTCATTTTGATCTAGAACTTCATCAGATGCATGTGAAAACAACTTTCCTGAATGGTGAGCTTAGTGAAGAAGTTTATATGATGCAGCCTGAGGGTTTTAAGGAGAATGGAAAAAAATAATTAGTGTGCAAGTTGAAGAAGTCTATCTCTGGTCTCAAATAGGCTTCTCGTCAGTGGTACTTAAAATTTGATGAGATAATAAGTTCTCT